TTTCAGTTTTAAGAAAGACAGGACCTGTCTGGGGCTGTAGGCCAGTAGGCTTCATCCTCTGCCACCATTGCCCTCCCCCCTGCCCTCCCTCCCCCATCTCTTTCTCCCCATGTCCTTCCTTCTCTCTTTCTCTTCTTCCTTCTTCTCTCAGTCTTCCTTTGGGACTAGTTAGACTAGATTTTAAAAAAACAAAAAACAAACAGACAAGCAAATAAAACGGGACTGTTGAGGCAGTCCAGCTGTTTGGAGCACAGTCTGGTTTTCCAGAGGACCTTAGTTCAATTCCTAACAAGTCAAGTGGCTCAAGACTGCCTGTAATGCCAGCTCCTGGGAGATCTCATGTATTTGACTCCCTTGGCACCTTCACTGACAGGCAGGCAGGCAGATAGGCAGGGAGGGACACACACACACACACACACACACACAAATGCAAAACTAAAACAAAAAAACCAAACCAAAAACAGTTTAAATGCTTGACACTCTTGTATCCACACCTCCAACCAAGACACAGGACAGTGTCATCGCCTGAAATATTCCTTGAAATCCCTTCCCCTCAACCCTTCCGAAGCAGGCTCCATTCTGATCATGTCCCCATAGATTTCATTTACTTTTGCCTACTTTGAATTTCATATGTCTAGATGCAGGCTGGCCTTTTCCTTTTCTTCATCCATCCATCCATCCACTCATTCAGCTTTAGTTGTAAGGTGGTATGAGACTAGAAGTTCATATGAGGAGTGCCTGTGGTCAGGCTCTCCCAGCTGTGGGACCAGCTTTTTGGTACCACATGTCCCTCCATGTGCATATGTCCATGTGGTCCTCACTCGGCCCAGTCTCCCATTTTCTCACAGCACACTGACCCACTTTTCCCTGTGGAGCCGGCCGCCACATGCTCCCCTTGCCTGAAATCTCACTTCACAGCCACCGGCACACTCAGGGAAATCAAAATCACTAGCATGTCCAGCTACCTTCAACACCCATGCCCCTTGGGCCAACAGCTTCAGGCTATGCCAGGTGAGTCGGGCACACATCATGTTTCCAGAGAGCTTGCTCATCGCTCACCAGTGCTGAGCACATGTATTGAACTAGGGGCTGTAGGAGACAGTGTACACAGTCTGAGGACAAGCAGTGCATGTACAAGAGGAAAGACTTCGGGCCAGGGATGAGAGCAGGCAAGCCGGGAAGGAAAGGGGCCCAGTGAGAGCCCAAGGATGGGCTGGTGGATATTGGCTGACTCCAAACCTTCTGTGTGTCAGCCCTTGAGCTCTTCACAGTCCTAAACAAAGCATTGCCACAGCCTGGGTTTTATAGGGGTTTGAGCTCTGTCCCAGTTAGCCAGCCACTCCTCACAGAAATGGCCGCTAAGAGTTCAAGATCAATGTGCTGACAGCCTTGTCATCTGCAAAGTCCTGATTTCTGGTGCAGAGGTGCACAACTTCTTTTTGTGTCCATATGTGGTTGGAAGGAGCATGCAGCTCTCTAAGATCTTATTTATTTATTTGAAGACAAGATATCATATATCTCCAAATTCCCTATATAGCTGAGGATGCCCTTGAACACCTGGTTCTCCTGCTCTATCTCCCTAGTGCTGGGATTAGAGGGGCATGTGCCACCACAGCTAGTTTTTGTTTTTTTTTTTTATTTTTGGAGCTTATTGATTAAGTGGATGGGTGGGGCACATGGTCATAAGCATGTAAGGGTCAGAGGCCAACTTGAAGAATTCAACTCTCTCCTTCCACCATATGGGCTCAGGAAACCCTATATAGGTTGCCAGGCTTTGAGGCAAGCGTCTTTATGTGCTGAGCCATCTTGCCAGCCCTATATTCAGTATTATGTATGCTGAGGATAGAACCCGGGACTTTGGGCAGGGTAGGCAAGCACTCTAACAACTGAGCTACATCCTCAGCCCTGGGATCTCCTTTATCAAGAGTGATAAACCCACTCGTGAAGTTCATGCCTTTGTCATTTCTGAACCCACTTCCACACACACCTGCTATGTCATCTTGAGACTGAGGAGCCAACATGTGAGTTTGGGGGTGACAGTCAGCCTGAATCCAGAAGCTGTCCAGGGCTCACAGGACAGGTGCCCTCTGTCTTCTGTATTGCCATTGTAAGCCACCACCACCACCAAAGGCAGGGACCCTAGACTCAACACAATGTAAGATGCACCAAGGACATCAGGTACATGATTTAAAACCACCAGAGATTCATCAGTAGCATGCTGACCTACCATGTAGGAGGTTCTAGGTGCAATCCCCAGTGCCCAAAACATAAAATGATCACAGGACACAATCAGATTTGTGAAGTGATTAGCTGTAGTTCAACGGGGGTCCCTCTAACTTAGACACTGCTGACTCCACATAGATAAGTTGATATGAAAAAATTACGTTCTCCTAGAAAATTAAGAGAGAACCATGAAAGCAAAAGTTCCAAGGCTTGTATTGGAGGTTGTTAGGTTGGTGGTGGGGGGGGGGGTTGAGGGTCCCGCATCTGTCTTGCCATGGGGCTAGGGCCTCTCATGGAGACAGAAGAGCAGGAATTTGACTGTGCTCACTCCACACTGGCGTCAGGCTATGTGAAGCTGCAGGACCCCACTTGGGGTGGGGGAGCGCAGTCTGAGGTCCCACAGGGAGCTGGAGCTCTTGGCTTGGGGGTCCCTGGGCCAAAAGGTGGCTGGGAACCAGCTGGTTCTCAGGCTCTTGGGCCCCTAGGCACCACTGGGGAGTGGGGGCTGCAGAAGGGCAAAGAACGAAGTGGGGGCATACGGGCTAGATTGGCCAGCAGTCAAAGGAGAAAGGGGGAGAAGCCCTGGTTGTGTCCGGTGGGGATGAGAGTCTCGCTTGGCTGGGTCATGGCTGCTCCCTTGGCTTCTGTGGGTTGGTGGTCTCCATGGCTGAGAACACAGAGAGTTCTTCTGCAGGAGATTATGCAGCAGCTCTGTGGATGAAGGCCTGCTCCACTGTTCCCCATGGTGGATTTCGAAGAAGAAAAGCAGTCCGTGGTTTTAAGATGTTTATTGTCATGGGAGAAAGTAGATGAAAACTATACCCCCGTTTCCTCAGGGTGGGTCTGAGGTTAAATACCTTTTGCAAGGAGGAGGGTCTGGGAAGGAATGTTTAATTGGCTATGCCCCTCTGGCTTTTAGGTATTTCATTAATATAGAGATCTGTCTTGAGTCTCTGTGGCCTGTAATCACAACCTCTACCTGTGGAGGGGCTAGAGGGCATTGTCCTACGTGACTGAAAGACACAGATCTATGAAGGTCTGTGGCCTCATGTCAGTAGCCTGGAGTCTGGGAGCGTGGCAAAACATATGCTGTCCCTTAGGGTCACCTGCATCCCACCTGGGGCCCCTCAGGATCACCTGGAGTCTCTGGTAGTTTCCAGCTGGTGCTCAACCAGAAACCTGGCTGTCCTTCACGGTCCTACAGAGGGTCCTGTGTCCACATATCTTCAAAATTCTGAGCCTCACCTAGTTCTGATGGCTTGCACCCTCAGCCTCTAAGACTCTGGACAGTCAACTGTTCTACCTCTGCAATCTGACCTGAGCATCCCTGGGGCTGTTCTTGCATTCTTCCTAGATGATGCTAGGCTTGGCCTTCCCACAGACTCTGGACACCAGCACATTTCTGTGAGGAAACAGGGCCTATGTGAGCTTCTTGTGTACTGATCCGCTCAAGGTGTGACATGAGCAGCCACCAGGAGTGCATACAGAACTGTTTTTGTGCTCAGCCTGCCAGGAGTCATCTCCCCCTCAGAGGTTCACAACAGCATTCCTTTAGAGCCCTGTGCCAGAAATGACCAGGTTCTTTGTTCTGAGGGCTGTGTAAGATGGGAAAAATGGGAAAAGGAGCAGCATGTGGGGTACAGAGCCCTATTTATGAACTACTAGAGAGTAACATGGAGCCAGCCCTTTGTGCAAAGAGACATGGAAGGAGAACATACTTAGGAACACAGGGCACAGTGGTCAATAATCCTGACTCCTCATTTTGCAGATAGAACATTGGAGTGGGTGTGGCCTTGTTGTGGGCGTGGCACTGTGGGTGTGGGCTTTAAGACCCTCTTCTTAGCTGCCTGTAAGTTAGTCTTCCACTAACAATCTTCAGATGAAGATGTAGAACTTGGCTCCTCCTACACCATGCCTGCCTGGATGCTGCCATACTTCCACCTTGATAATAAAACCTCCGAACCTGTAAGCCAGTCCCAATTTTTTTTTCTTCTTTTTCTTTCTTCCTTCCTTTCTTTCTTTTTTTTTTTTTTAAGCCAGTCCCAATTAAATGTTGTCCTTACAAGAATTGCTTTGGTCATGATGTCTTTTCACAGCAGTAAAACCCTAACTAATACAGAAGTTGGAGGAGCAGAAGTATAAGAATGAATCTTTTAAGAATCTGGAGTTGGTTTAATAATTCACCAACCCTTTCAACTACTGAAACCTCTCCAGATACTCTCTCTCCTGGGAGCTCGGAGAATATTGAAGGCCCATGGTGGAAACTATATTTCAGATTTAAAGAAGCAAGCCAGTAACATTCGTCCATGGCCTCTGCATCAGCTCCTGTTTCCTGACCTGCTTGAGTTCCAGTCCTGACTTCCTTTGGTGATCAACAGCAATGTGGAAAGTTTAAGCTGAATAAACCCTTTCCTCCCCAACTTGCTTCTTGATCATGTTTTGTTTTTTGTTTTTTTTTCAAGACAGGGTTTCTCTTATAGCCCGGGCTGTCCTGGAACTCACTCTGTAGACCAGGCTGGCCTCGAACTCAGAAATCTGCCTGCCTCTGTCTCCCAAGTGCTGGGATTAAAGGCGTGCGCCACCACTGCCCAGCCTTGGTCATGTTTTGTGCAGGAACAGAAACCCTGACTAAGACAAGGACCTTTCTCTGTAGTCAGCTGCTCTTCTGTTCTGCAAGCACAGCTCACAATGGCCCAGCATGGGGACTGAAAGGGTATGAAACTAAGGTTGGCGGCAGGAGGATGGGGCATAAACACTGACCACACATGGGACACTTCTTCTGGGTCAGCATTCTAGATCTTGTTTAATTCTGACAGCACCTGAGGATAGACAGATGCAGAGTGGGTGCTTGGGACCCCTCATCTGCAGACCAGGAGCCTGCCAGTGTGTGGTATGAGGCAGGGGGTGGAGCTGGGAGGAACTAAGGCTGAAGGTCCAGGCAGGGCCAGATAACACCAGGGCCAGGCTCAAAATTCCTCTCCTGGGGGATGACTTCATCCTTAGACTGTGTGGCTTCCCTGGAGATATTAAACAGAGAAACTCGAGGTCAGACCTTGGAGAAAGAGGAGGAAGTAAGAGAAGCAGGCAGAAGGCTGGTACAGTGGTCTGAGAGAGACATGGTGAGTCTCAGCTAGACAAATATAAATGATGATGGCTTTCCACCCTCAAAAGCTTGGAGCCTATGTGGGTCAAAGATTAGGACACTGAGGAGAGTCTTTTCAAAGGAAATCAAGAGCCTTCCTCCTCAAGTCCCCTCATTTTAGGAGCAAAATTTGAGCTCGCTGATTCTAGAGCATGTGGGAGACTTGCTGCTGGAAGAAAGTTCGCAGAAATCAACCAGCTAAGTCGAGTTGGAAGGCTGAGGTCAGCGTGCTCCGGACAGGCCAGGTTTCTGTTGTTCTGAGTGACCATCTTCTAGGTTCAGATGTTCCAGCAGGCAAGCTGGCAGTACAGCAGGGGTACAGGCTACAGAACCAGGTTGGGTGCCACTACTGCAGTCAGTAGGGTTCACAGAGGCCACACTCCAACCCAACCTCAGGTAAGACTGGGGCCTAGGCAGGGTAGTGATGGCATACACCTTTAATCCCAGCACTTGGGAGACAGAGGCAGGTACATCTCTGAGTTCAAGACCAGATTGCTCTACAGAATGGGTTCCAAGACAGCCAGGGATGCCAGAGAAACCCCTGTCTCAAAAAAAAAAAAAAAATCGGTGCCTCTTCCCAATTCTCTTTGCCTACTTTGTGTGTTTGGAGGGACACTGAGAGCTCCAAAGGGGAGATGGCATTGTGTTGGTAAGGCTACCAAAGTGGGACACACTAGCCATCTCTGGGAGGGCATCATCAGCCACATTTGTGATTTGGATTGTCCATTGGTGCCAGGCACAGACTTGGAGTATTTCTGTACACTTTTCTACTTTCTCCTCATGAGATCCTGGGGGTTCAGAGCCATTGTAAAGTCAGCCAGGCAGACTCAAGGCCATGTCACTGTGCACACAGGCTTCAAGCTCCAAAGGGCTGACTTGAGACCCTGGTCTTGTGCTGACAGCCCTGAGATCTAAGGTTCCCTCTTTCTGACCCTCAGTTTTCTCACCTGCTGATCAGTCTGTAGAACTGTCTCACTGGGCCTCCATGGCAGCGGCAGCTATGTTTTGCCTGGAGGACCCTGCCAGCATCAGGAGAATTTGTACCTGGGTTAGGGAGGCTGAGATCTTAGTTTTGAAGTGACAGATAAGGAAGCATGAGAGGCCAAACCACATGTCTTTTGTGGTTTTTCTGGTTGGCTCTGCTTAGGGTGCTGCCTAGAATTATACACACCCAGCTGCTGTTTCCAGCTGCCACTTGAGGCCAGAAGAACCTTTCCTCCCCATTCCTAAGTGACTCAGCATCTGTACAATGACTGGAGGCCATCTGGACAGTATCCAGGTAGGCCTTTGGAGACATTTTTGAAGAGTAGAAGGGTACTGTCCTAAAGAAGTCCAGGGTGTGGTAGGATTAGTGCCCAGAGATTAGCCGAGCTACCTACTTTGTGATCTCACACAGCTAGCTAAACCTCTCTGACTCTCAATCCTTCGATCAGTGGAGATCTGGGATGGGTCAGACAGGCTCTCTGTAGCCCTCCTAGTCCTGAGAGGTTTTTTTGTGTTTGTTTGAGACAGAGTTTCTCTGTGTAGCCCTGGCTGTCCTGGAACTCACTCTGTAGCCCTGGCTGTCCTGGAACTCAGAGAGATTCTCCTATCTGCCTCCTGAGAGCTGGGATAAAGGCATGCACCACCACTGCCCACCCCCTAGTTCTGAGTTTTATGAGAGAAATGGATATGGACACAGTGACAGGCAGTGTGAGCCCTTAAGCCAGAAAAAGTGGGTACCTAGGTGGCTAGAAGTGGGAGGGGTCCTGGAAGAGGGGAGACTAAGAGTCATCGTCCTCTTCTGTTTCGTTGGCAACTCATAGAAGAACCAAGTTTGTCTCAGAGGTTAATTGATTTGAAGTTATGAAGTGCTTATATGAGCAGTACACGTGTATGGTAGAAACACTCCAGAAAACTTAACGCTTTCCATTGAGAACCCTCCTTCCCTGCCATTCCCAGGAGGACTTGGCGACTGTTCACAACCTCTCAGTGTGAGCTTCTGGAAGCATCTGCAAATATGGAAGTACATGTGTGCAATCAAGACTTGGGATTTGTGATATAGCAGCTGCCTGCTGATTGGTCACACACTGTGTTCATTCCCTGAGCTGTGACCTATAGTAAGAATTTTGGCTACTTTAAAAAACATAGAACTATCATTATAAGAATGTGTTTTCATTTTAATCCCAGGTGTGGACTATGGGGCTCTTTCCAACTGTCCCACAGCAGCTGACTGTGGTTTGCCTCGTGCTCTAGCAGGGGCATGGTTTTGCCAGCTGCAGATAGTTTCTACAGCTGTGTGATGTTTGGAATTCTGGGGGCTCCTCAGAGGATAAATACTTGGGCCCCAAGAGCTGAGGAGCTGTTGGTTGGTAACTGGATGCTGTTGGTCATAGTTTGCTAAGTAGTTGTGAACAAAGAAGAAGAAAGAAGAAATTAGATATCCTGATGGCAAAGATCAAACTTGCCCCAAGGAACTTGATGCCATTAGTTAACAGGAAGTGCTCTAATGATATGTGGACTCTTTCTTCTCTATCCTTTTTTCTCTCCTAACTAGTGTTAGGAGATTGGAAGGGAAGAAGTAAAGGGTTGGAGAAAGGTAGAAGAAAGAAGAACCAAGAAAGTAGCCAGAAGAATGGCTACAGTGACCTCAGACATATCTTAATCTAGGTGACCTCTGAAGAAATCTGGGAGCGGCCAAGGAAGGAGGTGAGAGTATTAGTCCCTGGTACCCTTTCCCAGCATGCCCAGCTCCCCACTACTCCAAGACCCTTTGTGCCTTCTCGACCTTCCTATGGCTGTTACACGCGTTTTTAGCTGTGGAAACAGAGGCTCACAGGTCAAAGTTGGCTTTGGATGCTATATGGCCATCCAAGGCCATTCTGTGTTGTGCCCACAGGACTCTGGAGCCTGCAGGAGGAGGCTGTGCTGAGTCCTGTTTCCGGAGGTGTGCAAGCAGGATTAAGTGTAACCCAGGGAGGGGGGAGGAGAATGTGGAAATCAGAGGCCAAAGAACAACCACCCACCCTCTGCCCTTGGGACTCTGGCAGCGACTCTCAACTGTGTAATACCAGCCCCTGCCCACACAGCTGGTGAGATGAGCGGCCATGTGTGCACCTTTGACCTGGTGCTCTTTAACTTGGTGACTCAGCCCGGGAGCCAGAGCACCATGATGAACACACTGAAGGCTGCGTTTGTGGCGAGTCTTTTTATACATTAAAATTAAGCTGGGCATGGTAGTACACATGTGTAATCCCTGCCCTCAAGAGATAGGCAGGGCGATCACTGTGAGTTCTATACTAGCCTGGGCTAGTATTGAGACTCATTTGCTGTTGTTGTTTAAATTGAGGTAAAATTCACACCACAGATATTTAGCTGTTTAAGGTGTCAGTTCTGTGGCATTTATCCACCTCCGTGTAGTTCTAAAACATGCCCTACTCTCAAAAAAAGACCTCACTATTTATTTATTTATTTATTTATTTATTTATTTATTTATTTATTTTTATATTTAAGTGCTGGGGACAAGACCCAGGGCCTTATACACCATGCCTGGCAAGCACTGTATAGCTCTATAACTAAGCCCTGACCCTAGCTACAGCTTCACCTCTACCAGTGGCCACTCCCGATTTTCCTGTCTGTGGTATCCCTGGCAACTGTGGAGCTGCTCTTTAGAGTTCCCGCGGGAGTCACACGGTGCAGTTCAGCTTCTGGTGACTGGCTTTTCTCACTGAACCTGTTTTGAAGGCCAACAGGCTTTGTAGCAGGTGCCTGCATTTTGCTTCCTTCCATGGCTGCCTGAGGTCCCGCTCAGTGGGTGTCCTCTGCCTTTTCTATTCACTCCGGCTATGGGAACAGTATGCTGACCGCTGACTTGGGGGGGGGGCGGGGGGAGGGTCTCTCTCAGTGGCTTCTGGTAGAGTAAAAGTTTCCCCACATCAGCCACCTGACTGTTTCCAGTGTCGACTGCACACCATAGCACTTACTGCATACTGTTCTAAATGTTTTATCCGTTTTCACTCAACAGTGATGCTTTCTGTCCATCTTTAGTCCCTCTAGTAGCTGAGGTGGGCCTCACGTGATCAGTTTCAGAGACCGGAAACAAGGTCAGCTAAGGAGTTATCTATGGAGGAGAACTTAAAGCCGAGCCCGCCCCCCCCACCCCCACCCCCACGCCGTTTACATACCACACGCCCCTGGTGTACGCCCTTGTCTGGACGTCTGCAGACTTCACCCTGGGCGGTAACCTTGAGGACTTTCGTTTTCTTTTTCCCCAGGGCTCTCTTCCCAGGGCTCTTTCTGCTTCACTTTTCAGTCATTGATTTGTTTTCATAATGACCAATAGGAAACAGAAAGCATAACGAGTCAGAAAGGAAATGAAAGTGCTGAAGGTGAATTTCCAGAAAAGCTGGACTTTAACCAGTTCACGTGGCAGACCCACCTAGTGGGCCGTGCACCAGCAGGGCGGCAGGGCGCCTTCGCCTGGCAGGAAGATTACAGTATAAGTTGGGTGTAGTTTTAGCTTTTGTACGCTTATTCTTCTTTGGTTGGTTCTTTTTGGTTTTTAGGTTATTTTTTTTGGGGGGGGGGGGCGGGGGGAGGGGGTTGGGGATTGCTTTTTGGTTTTTGGATTGTTTGTTTGTTTGGTTTGGTTTGGTTTTTTTTGGTTTTGGGTTTTTTGTGTATTGGTATTTTTTGATTTTTGGTTTTTGTTTGTTTGTTTGTTTTTGTTCTGTTTTGTTTGTTCTGCTTTTGTGTGGTTGGTTTGTTTGTTCTTGAGACAGGATTTCACTGTATAGCCCTAACTGGCTTGCAACTCTATATAGACCAGGCTGACCTCAAATTTGCTGTCATCCTCCCGCCTTGGCCCCTCAAGTACTGGGCTTCCAGGCATCCCACATCATAAGGCACTTCCTCATTTCTCCTCAGACGAACAAGAGCCTTTTAGACATTCACACAGGAAGTCCAACTTCCTCACTCACACCCTCGCTGGAGGTGAACCTTAACCCCATGCTGGTCAAGAACTCAGGAACTGAAACTGTCTGATATGCAATAGCCTTTCCCCTTAGGACCTTCCCAGCACAGCCATGTGCCACCACTCCACCCCGGCACCCCTCGGAGCTATGAAGAGAAACTAAAACATACCTGATCTAGAGTCAACTCAGACTCCACATATAAAATCAGGGCTTCCAACCCCAGACCTCTGGCAGGCTCCCGTGCAGGGGCATCCCAGCCTGGGCCCCAAGTTGTCCTGGTGCCATTCACCTGCTCCCCCAACTATTTGCATATGCTGTGCCTTCTACTCAGAGCTCTGTCACCCTCAAGTCACCATCATCCTTCAGGCATAACCAGCAGTGCCCAGGGGAGTGGTCCCAGGAGCCAGTGGCAGCAGGTACAGTGTGACAGGTGTTTCTATGCCCTTGTTTGGGGTGGTCCTCACCACCTTGCTGTGAGGCAGAAATTGCCTTCCCTTCTCTTGCCTGCTTCCCTCAGGTATAAAGGGCCTCACATATAGAAAACACCCAGAGATGATCACTGCTGCTATTCCTATACTAAGAGGAGACTTCTGAGACTCGGAGAGCCCAAGCGACTCATCTGAGGACATGCAGCCAGTGGGAGACCTGGCCTGAGCGATCTTTCCCCATGCTAGCCATCCTTGTTCTGGTTCTGGTTTCCAATGGGAGTGACTCCTCAAGGACATGCAGAGAGCTCCTTTCGAAGGAGCCATCTGTGCACGGTGGGTGAGTTGACTCTCGCACCAGATGGCCAGTGCTCTAACCTGGGTCTGCCATGTACTCTCCGTGTGATCTTGGACAAGTTTCCTGACCCCTCTGTGCCCATTTCCTCCTTCCTGGCATGACTATCAAGGAGAGAAGATGAGCCATACCCTTCCACAGCCCACCTGATACTTGCTGCCAAAATAAAAACAGGTTCTTGGGCCTCTGCTGAGCTGCTGGGGAGACCCAGGCGCCAATAGCCCACCTCGGGAGAGGCTGTAACTTCCAGAGTGTCTGGTGCCCGTTGGTTACCCTCATTTTAAGGGTGGCTGGGGGACATTCTGATTGGACCGATTCCTTCTATCTTGAAAGCATCTTGAGTCACAAAGTCCCATGTCACTATCTGCCTTTACTGAAAGTGACTCCGTGGAGCTCGGATTCCCTGGGGGAAGCATAGGACAATGTCTACCCCTCCTTTGAGGTTCTAGCAATAAACTGAGGCACAGTGCTGACAAATTTCACTCTAGGGAACCAATGACTGGATCGGGCTTCCTGATAGAGCCTATCCGGGGTTACTTACAGGAGTGTGGGGGCCCCTCCCCCAACCTGCTGCACCTGAAACATGGTATTCAACTCAGATGATGACTTCCATATGGCTGTGTGGATGGAGCTTTCGTTCTAGTAATTCCTGGCCTCTATATACACACCCCTACCCGAGGCTACCTGTCGCCTGACGGGAAGCAGCTGGATGCTCAGGGGAGAACCTCAGCCTTACTCTGCCCCTCTTTGCAGGAGTGTACATATATGTCAACATAGGCCAGTTGGGATGACCTTTTGTGGTGTGTGTGGGTGCAGCTGAACTCCCCTGAATGGCCATTGCTTGGCTTGGAGGACAGTCACTCATGACACCCCCTTACAGGGCAAAGGTCAGGACTCCTGCACTGGACTGAGGATCTCTGAATAACTGGATTGTAAGCACAGGGAAAGGGACAGCCAAGCCTTTCAGGGACATACAAGGAGCTACAGTGGAGGACGGCTTGTCTGGGAGCTTCGGGGCTAGTTTTCAGAGATTCCACTTGACAGTAGGTGACAGATGGATGGGAGAAAATCTTCTCACAGTAGAACCACAGCAGGAGCAAAAGACACTGCTTCTGACCCCACAGCCACCTTGACTTTGGCAGGACACCCAGGCCTGGGCCGACCCACCCTGAGCCACAGCTGCCAGGAAAACAGGTCAGAGAGGGTGGACCCTGGCAGGATGACACTAACCTCCTTGCTGGCTTCAGAAAGCTGTTGGGAGGGAGCTAGCAGGGAACACCCTGCCCTTCCTGGATCTGTCACTCTGCCCTGAGGACCAGGCCACCCAACATGTTTGTAGGCCAGTTCCAGAACTATAGCATCTCTGGTGGATGGCAGCCCTGTCACTGTTCAGCTGCCTTGACAATGCCCTGGCAGGAAGCAGGCCCAGCCTCATTCCTTCCCTCAGTGTGAGGTAGACTGGTTCTGAGGCTCAGTTTCCCACTTGATAGGAACTCTTGCCTCACTGGATCCCTGAAACTGGATGGAGAATGTGTTCCCCAACAGCTCAGGCTGGGAAAGTCTGCTGTCACGCCTATTACTAATCTATTATCCAGGTTGATGAAGGGTAACTGTGAGATTCAGGTGGAGGAGGAAGAGAAGCCAGAGATTTGAATCCCTGGTTCTGCCTCTAGAGGCTGGGAATCTGTGAAAAACCCTTTGTCAAACCTCAGTTTCTCCACCTATACATTTTTTTGAGCTGGGGAGTCTTTGGGTTGTAGGGTAGCCAAGCCTTGGGAAAGGACCATCCCAAAGAAGGTTAGGACCACATGAGGTTTTCTTGGTAACCATAAGCAGCATCCTCAGAGACCAGAGGCCTCCTTCCCTTGGCTGGCCTCCCAAGAGCCCACTGGCTAAAGGCAGCCTCAAGGGCCTTCTTGCAGCCCTATCCCCATGCATGAGGCCCACTACTTATGAGGTATCTTGCTGTCCATGCTGGATGCTGTGACCTCAGGAGAAACATGCCAGTGGAGGTCAGTGGCCAACACATCGAGTGAGTGCCACCAAGGGCAAAACATGGTCAGGGCTCAGGGCCAGGGGTTCAGAGCTGTCCTAAGGAAGGCCTTGATGGGCCTTTCAGGGATTCTTGGCTGGCTTCTGTGCCTTGCACACTTGCATTCCTTTCTGTCCTCAGGCTCCAACACTGCAAGTGTCATGGTGCCATTGAGTGTAGGGCTGAGGTGAATAAGGGCACACAGGAGACAAAGTGGAGAGACCTGCATTATCCCACCAGTCTCCAGAATATTCTCCACGGAAAAAAAGAAAAAGAAAACCTGACTGTAGGAAATGACAAACTCCAGATTCTTGGGAGTAAGGAAGAGTCTAGTAAAATTTTGACTTCCCACTGGTGGATAGCCAGCTTGGCTTCTGGGCCTGGTGGCTCAGCTACCTGCCTCTCCCCAGCCTGAAAAGCCTGAGGACAGGGCTGGCACAAAGGCTTGCTGTGTCGTGTGACCTTGGCTCCCAGAAGCCTGAGAGTGGCAGCCTTATTGAGACCACAGCTGCTCAGACCTTACTCTGGGACCCAAAAGGACACACCTCAGGGCCTATGACAAGGCTCCCTTTTCATTTGTGCTTGAGCACCATGGTGCCAGCCATGCTGGCTACTGGCACCCTCTCTAATTATTGTGTCTGTCCCCACACCCTGCTGCTGCTCCATCTGACTGAATGGACTCATTAAAGCCCCATAAAAAGGAAGTGATGGAGTTACATCACCAACAAGGGAGGAGCCCACCCTCTCTCCTCCAACAGAGGTGAGGACAAAGAGGCTGTGTCTGCCAGAAAGGCCTGACAGGGCTGCAGCCAGCATCTCCTAAAAGGGAGGTGAATGAGAAACAGGGATGGGGGAAAAATGGAGGCAGTAAGGAACACAGAAGCAGGAACAGAGACAGATGAGATACTTAGGAAGGGTTGGTGAATGTTACATGTTACAGGGAAGGGTGAGCCTTAGGAAGCGCCCTAAAGCAGCTTGTCCTGAACACCAGAGGCTCTGAGTCTGGGCCTGGTCAGCCCTGCCCAAGTCAGATGCCTGGGCAGGCAGCTAGGTTTCTCTTGGTGTCCCCTTCACTGTCCCATTGGAAGCCCAGCTGTATATCCCCCCCTCACAGGTAAATACACACAGCTTTGCCTTACAGTATTGCTTCCCACTGTGTGCACCTTCGGAACACAGCACTGCTGACACAGTATTGAGCATCCTGCACACAGCACGGGGAACATGAGCATGGGGAACTGAGCTCCTCTGCTCAACTGTGCATATGTAGGTTAGCATGGCAAGGACATGGTTAGCTGGGGGAAGCCAGCACAGAACCAGCACACAAGTAGCCATGTCTAGCACGATGGTCCCTCACTCAGGGTGTTATCAGTCTATGGCCTTGGAACAGTCTAGATTTTCAGCATGGCAGACTCTCCCTCAGCCCACAGCCTGAGCTCCAAAGCTGATCTCTCCCTCCCACCAGTCACTCTATCACCCAGACATCAGCAGGCAGCTGTCCCTTCACAGTCACCCATGTCCCTGAGGAAGGCCACCCCCCCCCCCCCCCACGAGGCATCCTTTCATGAAAG